CTCACATCCCAAAAGGGAAGAGGAGGTGTGATGAGCATTTATTCCTCAAGGACCACAAACTATTTTGAGGATTGCACCTCATGGATTAATCAAAAAAGGTTGGTGAAAAGGATGAACCAGTTAGCTAAATTAAACAACTGTAATTACCACAAAGACAGGTTGTTCCTCATACCGTATCTCTCAACCCAGTGAGTAACATCTCAATAATCTCTTCTACGACTTCTGGAACATCCATTTCTTCATCTTGCAGGCAGCTGGAACTTGGTTCTGAGTTTGAATCCTCAGTATTCAAAGCATAATTGCATTGATCAGTTTTTTCAGATGCAGACAAAGTAATGTTCTCTCCCAATGTTCTTTTCTTTCCCTGCATCAAAAGTCTATGGTTAAGGCAAGAGAAAGCCATCAGAGAAAAAAAAAATTAGTAACCAGAAGAGATCAGGGCTTCTTTCCAAAGGCCACTCATCCATTGTAGTCCTGAATTTTAATCAATGTACGGAAAAAGAAAAAGAGGTTGTGTTTATAAGTCAAATGCAAAGAATCGCTTAATGTGCAACCCCACTCAAAAAATTTATACTTCTAAATACTCCAAAAAGTGCAACAAACAAAACTGAAAATAAAAATACCCAAGGTAGGACATATAACTGGAATTGCAAAGTAAATACTTTCCAGTTGAAATGAAATAAAGTTTAAATAAATTTAAGCATCTTAACCATTGATGTTCAAAAATTATCCTAACTCAATTGAAGTTCGGAATTTAAAAAAAGGGTAAAGAATTTAGCATTTCTAACCACATAGCGCCATGAAGGTGTATGATGAGGGAGGCAAGTAAGCCCAATCCTCTGAGTTAATTTCATCAGATACTTGCGAAGCAATGGACTTTGAGATGCATTGCTAGAATTGATCAACAAAGAGGTGTCATTCCAAATAATAGGAACCACATCAAGCAAGAGTTTCCGCCCACCAACCTGTCTATGACAAATAGTATTAAGTCATTGAAATATTAAGACCAAGGCAGTATGAATGGCAACCAATTTTGAAAATAGATATCTGATGTAAGTAAATTGTAGCATCCATAAGTGATCCAGCACAATTGAAGCATTTGTATCAGAAGTTAAAGGCAATTTTAAGCAAAAATGGAAATGGTCGAATATATTATCAGGTTAAAGCATCAAATGCAATATGCAACATGCAATCCTCTGAAATTTCACTGTACTTGCTAATTTATACTTGAGTGTTTTGTAGGGTCACAGTTATTGCTCCTTAAGACATTATCTTTTTATATAATTAAGCTGGAACATTGCAAACTATATTTGGGTTCAGAATAGTACAAACAACAAAGAAGTAAAAGCAGACCTTGAAAACAGCAGCCAGTGCTTCTGTAGCTCCAAGCAACCGGAAGTGATTGATGACATCATCCGTCGGAGAAGATAGGACTTCATATGCCCACTCAACAAAGCTGAAGAAGAAATGGGTAAGAAAAAAACAATAATATGAGTGCCCTTGAATTTCAGCATAATAGCTAAGAAATAAATTACGATAGAAGCATGCACATGAGCATACATGTGTGTGTGTGTGTGTACATGAGGTTAAGTATATTCATATGAAACTTATCACATTCTAAGCCATTGGATGAAAATCTAACAGTTAAAACAACAACCTCTTAGCATGTAAGTAATGATATGTTTCCTATTAACTGTTGGATGAATCCAACGAGAAATAAGTAAACTGTTAAATAAGTTGACATCAGGTCCTCTCTATATGTATACACACAAATGTACGCTCATCATGTTTATGGGAATAATAAATATCAGAAGAACAACCTTCTATTAAAAAAAAAAAATTATCAGTAAAACCAATATCAAGATTTGAAATGTGTTCTTCAAAAAAATTGGCCAAATATATGGTGAAGCAGAAAGAAAAATAAGAATGGATCACTTCGTATTCTCTTGGCTACAAGGTTAAATACCAATAAATACAACGTGCCTAACTTCACAGCTAGCACTCATTTACAAGATCGATCAATTATTAAACCCATAAGCATGCAATGTTAAAGTAGAAAGTTGGTAAGCAACGGTTTATGACCTATATGCATGATAAAAGAAACCTGGAAAAGGCCTTTGGCATGTCTGGACGCGTTAGAAGCTTTGATAGCAGCAAAGCAGCTATCGTACGCATAGGGCCTGCATTTGAAAGGTAATCTTTGGAGAACCCTATTATCCTCAATACCAGAGGAGCTGGCTCAAGTTTTCCAAGGTTACTGTTGTTTGCAATGCTAGTATCAACAGTGGAGATATCGAATGGAACCAATACAAGTATAGAAAGCCACAAAAGCATCACACATTTAGCCTCCATCTCTCCTGTACTTTCCTGTCGCAGTGAGGACACTGAACTTGTGTGATGACACTTCTCCAAGAGAGACACAGCAAGTTCCAAGTCAGATACTTGATGAGGGAAGAACCTGACAACAGCCTTGTATCCGCAAACCGTGACCAGAGAATAGATAATGATACATATAGGTTTAATTACTTTAAGAATTTCATCTGACGCTGCACCCAATTCAACTGTTTTAGAGCGCACAATAAACATCAGCGGGGAAACGATGCTCTCCAGGTAAGGTTCTACTAATTGACCCTGTTCTTGATACTTGTCCATCTACATACACAAAATGAGCAACTTCTTAACGTAATACAAAAGCATTCTTTCAAGTTGAACATGCTTTGAAAGACAAATTTAGAAACCAACTTGAATTAGTGTAAATCAAAAACTCCATGACCAAACCTAAGTTATATATAATCACTAGATATTGGTTTTACCACAGTTCACCTCCCAATTGCTCCAAATGAGTCCAACTCCAATCACAAAACCCTACTCCTAATGCCGTGGATCCTAAAAATACAAGAAATTGAGTACAACCCACAAATGCAAAATCAAAACCAATTCATTTCAGTGCCACAAAATGGGTGTCGATCACAAACCTAAATAAGCAAACTTAATTCATATCTTCTTCACCTAAAATTGTCTCTAATCACAAAGGTGATAGAAAATGGTCTTATCTAATAGCAATTCCAAATGGGTTCAAACCAAAAATCCAATCTTGCAAATGCAGCAAACAATAAGAGAGATGGAAGAGAGAGTTACAATGGATCGGATCTTGTGGGGAGCGGAGGGATCGGAGACGCGTCCATTGGATACGATGTCGTTCAAGATGGACTTGACGAGCTTCCATTCTTGAAGGAAGTACTTTTGGAGCACTGCCTCCTTGGCACCATGCTCGTCGTCATCTTCCTCACCCATTGGCACTGATAGTGCTAACTTCATGTCATGTTTGTGCTTTGGGTTTTCTTCTGCCATGGCTGCCATTTTCTAGGAAGAGAAATGAGGGAGAAGGTCTTCAGTTCCCGCCTTTGTTACTGAAACTGGGCTACTGAGCGTTGGGGATAGTTTAGTCTCTGTCTAAAATGACCGGAAGTGCTCACCTGAGAACCAAATTTTGAGGGACTTCGAGCGCCAAACACATCTCACCCGTTGGATTAATCCAACGGTGTTTAATATGGTAGCTTTAAAAGTCCAAGAAGACCCATTTTGCGGGTGCGAGGTGCAACCCGTAAAAAAATTTCATTAGATGGAGATGATAGGAAAGAGAAGAAAGAGACAGGAGTTGGGGTTGCGATTAGGGTTCGTGAAGTGGGTTACAGAAACGGGTTGGAAAGTCTATTTGGGTCTCACGAGTTTGTGTTACTAAGACTACAAGCCGTTGGATTAATCCAACGGGTGATATGTGTTCGGCGCTTGGAGTCCCTCAAAATTTGGTCCTCAGGTGAGCACTTCTGCTAAAAATGCAATCAATTTTGGCGTCGTTTTTCGATTAAGCATCCAACTTAATTTGATTAGTTTTCGATACAAATAATAAAAATTTAATTTATCAATCTAATAATAGATCAATTTATTTTTTATATAATAAAACGATAGTTTAAACTACTACAATTGATTGGAAGGGATCAAACTCAGTGTAAGGAATCAATTGAACTAAGTACATTGGCTCATAAGGGTTTAAGATACTGTATTGCTTAACGAAAGATTACAGGGTACGATAGAAAAAACCTCATCCTCACTTCCATTCTCACTCTCATTTTCTTCTTTATTTTAGCATGAAAAATAAAAATTGAAATTGAAATGATTATCAAAAAGACCCTACAAAATTTAGATTTTAAATTTTAAATCTTGAGTTTATCCCAAAACTCTGATTCGATGGACGGTGAGCTTTGTCTAAGCTCAAAGACTAAAATCATTGCTTGCAATGTTGTATTGCCTTTTGTTTTTGTAGTCAAATTAATGTTAATCTGCGCTAATTAACTTGTACAAGTCTCCAAAAAATAAACGCATTCAAATCATCCGAGGCAAACTTTCGCCGCACTTAAAACATGCAGGTCCCCAAATTAATCAACTTCTTCTTTATATAATATGCCAATCGGTGAAGCTGTTATTGAGTTTGAACTTTGAACACATGAGTTAAATTGAACCCAAAGTCTCATCTATAAAGCTAATAGCTTACCATCCTCATGAGTTGGCAGCAATATTATGGCAATGAATTCGTGTCAGCTAAACCAAAAAATCATTCTATGTACCAAGCCTCACGATTTCCTTTAACAATTGCCCTTCTTTTTTTTCATATCAATAATAGCCGTCCACGAAATTCAAACTTGCAATTTCTTCTAACAAAGTGAAGAATAAGTGTTATTAGACCAAATGACCATTAACAAGATGCTCTGAGTGACTCATAATTAGTATTATATATTAACCAATTAATGTACAAATGCACGTAAACGACCTTATTGATAGGAGTTTAAGGATTCATTTTCAATTACAATTGGATATATATATATATATATATATATCATATTATTCTTGTCTGAAAAAAAAAACATCTTTAAGTAACAACATATAAAAGAACAAGATTAAACCATGACACAAAGAAAAACTTGGTATATTCACATCCCTTCATAGGCTTCATTGTGTGTATTTCATACATTGATATTAACATGAACAATTAACATATATAAAAGAACAAGACTAAATTAAACCATGACACAAAACCAAAACGCATGAAATCCTCAAAAGGCTTAGCTACCTAAAGCCAGCCCTCAGGGCTTCTTTGCAGCTCGGTACCTTTGAGCAAATCTATGAAACAAAGCCAGAGCATTGCTGGTGACCTCAGCCACATTCAGCACCTTCCCTTTAATGGTGGCCTTCAACTTGCTCATATTCTTCCCTGGAAGCTCATCCACGCAAGTGTATGCGTCAGTTAAAGCTGTGCTCACCCAAGTCTCAACATTGCTTATGTGCCAGAACAAGTCATCACCCACAGTTGCTTGCCCTAAACGACGTAGTTCTTTAATGGACTCACTGAGTTGGGCCACACTATCATTGATCTGGTTCAAGCAATCATGCACAACTTGGTATTCTCTGGCCTTCAGTTCCTTGAGCTCTCTTGCCACCTTGAGGACATATGCTCTTGCGTACTGGGCGCGGTACAGGCTCACGGACAAGGCAACTTGGGCCAGCTGCTGTGGGCTTTGGATGGTCATGTTGGGCTTGATGTAGGTGGAGAGGCAGTGAACGCATAACTTTGGGTAACGGGTGGTCTGGCACGAGGCCTCGATGTAGGCCCGGGCCCGGGAACGTCGAGGCTGTTGAGGATGGCTGGCAAAGGAAGGCTCAACACTGCTCAAAAGGGAGAGAATAGAGAGGAGGATGAGCAGCAAGGAGAAGCTGAATTTGGCCATATTCTGGTTGAGAAGTGAGATATTGTGAAATGGAAAGAAGGGTTTTGTTTTGAACTCTGAGTTTGAAGAGAGATGTAATGGGGCAAGAGGATTATATAGGGGTTAAGATGTTAATTAAGCTAGGGTTATCACATGGGACACATGGTTAGCTTAACGTGCATTAAGCACACACAAAATTTTGTGCATGGATTATTGTATTGAGGTCTAGAAGAAATATCTGAATAGAATAAATAAGATTGGATCAACATTATGGGATGACTAAGAGATAAGTATCTGTCCACCATCTGCATTATATTTGACAATGCAAGCAAGAAGCTCTAACTTTAAGTAATGCCTGGCTAGGTCGACCTTTGATTGTGTAGTTGTGCTTACCCAACATTTGTAGCACTTCATGGGAAAGACCACGTGTTATATGATTGTCAAAGTTTCATGTAGTTTACGTTTTCATCATTCTACTTTGTTCACTTAATTTGATACACTACAGGTCATCAGCTTACATATCTTTTATAATATGAATGTGTTTTTCTTATCGTATTCATCTATTTTGTTAGTCAATAGAAGGTTAGGTGAGAAATCACACAATAGGAGATTTTATCTCAAAATATGATATTAGCTATGTGTCATAACATGAGTGAATTAATAACATCATGTGACAATCACAAAAAAAAATTCTCGTATGTGTCCAAACTTCTGACGTTTTGAGCTTCCACCTTCGATTAACCAAAAATCCGAAAATCTTAACTCGAAACTCCAACGCGATGTCCAAAATAAATCAACAAATAAAACATAAGCACAGATCCTGTTTCCATTTGATAATCCCCGTCGATCCGTCAACGAAATTCTCTCGAGTATTATAATATAGAGAAAATGTTTGATGATTGAAATTAAGAAATTAACGTAAAATTATTGTTTGTATTAAACTAGTGTAAACAATAACTGTTTAGGGAACATAATCCTTACACAAGGGTTATGAGATTCTAGAATAATGCAACAAGGAGACACATCACACCACTGACCAATCAATCACGTGGGTTTAGGTGGTTTTCCCGAAAGTCAATCAACAAATGGACCTTTTCCATGGCTACAATCTTGGAATATCTTGCATGCTTTGCATTGAGTGAGATTGTATGTTACTTTTGTCTTTGTTTTACAGACAAAACATAATTACTGCCGGCAAATAACCTTCAATTGACAGTTATTCCCTTCTATAAAACATGCTTCTTCTTTTTTCTATTTACCAATGAATGTCAACGAGGCCCAGTTTTCTATCAAGATGAGCATGTGAGAGATATGATAAACTATATTGCATGCTTTGTCCCAAGACTCCCAAATCACAAGGCAAGAGGAAAATAAAAGCCCCATACGAAACACCGTCTTATGCCTTGACAAAATCAATGGGCACATTGATGCATATCAGGCCGTATCAGAAAGAAAATCTTAAAAAATAACCAAATACCATCACATAATAAAAAGGATCTGAATCAGTTAAATTTTGATTCAACTCTCCATGCATCGGAGGATAAACTATGCAATCAGAATATACTCAATGGCAGTCATTTTTCACAAACCCTTCTTCATTCTCAATCAGAACTTTGATCTTCATTACATACTACCTTTTACCCTAAGAGATAAACAAATACATAAATTTCGGAAACTAAATAAATAAATCATCACTCTAAATGCTGCATGACCATGAGTATCACATTAAAATTCTGAACTCATTTTCCTCATGGTTTTTTGTACACTCAGTTTCTAACAAACAGAGAGAACATATGTGCGTATCAGTTATTACACACACTTGCACCAGCACCGAGAGAGAGAGAGAGAGAGAGAGAGAGAGAGAGAGAGATCATTTGAGTAAGTGTTTAATAGCTCATTTCATCTTACAATTATACAAAGGACAAACCACAAACAACAACAATATATTATGAAAGCAACAGACTATAAAAACACACTGCATACCCATATGAACATTGATTGGCACGGATCTGGCCCGTCATTCATCAACCTTCATGCCAGAGAGATAAACCCGACTTTGAATCACACTGCCTCCAATCCAGAAACCAGGCATAACCATGAGACCAACCTTAGGCTTTTGATCACTTTCATCCATTATTAAATTCTTCACCACACTGTCCATATAAACCTCCGAGAACTCACTCCCCCTCTTGACCTGAAAGACCTCAACACGAGGATCAAAAGAATGAGCCAACCTATGCAAAAGCCATATTGACTTGGCCAGTTTTAGAAAAGCCTGGTAAAAAGGAGTCCTTGGATGCCCCCCACCCATTACATAATTTCGTTGATCTAAATTCCCGAAAAACGAAGTCTCCATTTTTGGGTGAACCACTACCAGGTACTTGCTCCTACAAAATCTCCCAAAAACAGAATCTGGATTTTGGCCAAGCATGTCCAATGGATCCATGTCCCGTAGTGTAAGAAATTGGTGGAAGAAGCTCTCCTTAGTGACTGTAAGATTGTCTAAGTTAA